TATCTCTGTTTCTTCTCTCCAGTCCTTTCATTTTATCCTTGATCCAGGTAATTTTGAATCCTGCGTCCAAAGGGCCGCGGAGGAGGAGGAGCAGAAATCCTTCTGAAACACAGGCACGTCCTCGTGTAAAATGCCAGGAGTTGTAATGACCAGTGAGGTTGCTCTAAATATCTGGGGGGCGGGAGTGGGGGTGGGGAGGAGGGGGTGAGGTCAGAGGCAGCGGGTTCGCTTTGGGCCACCCCTTCTGTAAAGTCTTAGAAATCCCGAGTAAAGACTCTTTGGGGGTGGTGTGTGTTGGGGGGTCGCCCAGTCGGCGATTTGAGTGGGTTTTGTTTCCGTTTCGGGGGCAACACCGCGCTGCACTCCTCCCGCGATCTCCGGGGTTCGGCTGAGGTCTTGAGCTACATCCCAGGTTCGCTTTCAGACTCCGAATGCAATCACCATCAGCACCTTCACCTTTTCCACGTCACCGCCGACTTCAGCATCCAGAGAAAGGCTCCCACGTGGGCGGCCTGCTGTGCGGATCCCCGTCTCCCGCTGCGCGCGGAGCCCCGAGGGTCACCCAGGCTGAAGGCGCTGGCGACCTCTTCGCGCCCGTCCCGCCGCGCTCGGCTCGCTCTAGGGCTCCTTCTAGAGGGAGCCAGTATTTTCTCCCCACTGTTGGCTTGCAGACTCACCTCCCCCCACACCCCCGCGAGGCCTTCGCTTCCCCTTTCCGTTTTTTGTTTGTTTTGTTTGTTTGTTTTTTAATTTTCCCCGCAAACCGTCCGGCCAATACACCCTCGCGTCCGTCTCTGCAGGTTCACGGCCCGAGCAGTACTAGTCATTAGGCCCAGCGAGCGCGGGACAGTCGGTGTACAAAGGGGCCTTGGCTGCAGGACCATCGGGGGTCGTCCCTGTGCGGTGGTGGACGTGGTTGCGGAGCTGAGAGGTGGTGTGTGCACCCTTGCGGGTTGGATTTCTGGCAGAGCTTGAATCTCCGCGAATCTGAGAGTGGGGGCCTGTCCTTCTAGGCTTTTCTCTCACCCTGGCGACAGGCGTGGCAGCGCCCTCCACTGCTCTAGGCGCTTAGGGGATGAACTGAGAAGCCTTAGCCTTGGGGGCGGTGGGGACCTTCCTTCCAGGGCAGAGCCCAGCTTTCTCTGTAGGTCCTGGTGGTAGTTCAGAGGACTTTCTGGAAAATTACCCAATCCCTTTCAGATCACTCATTTTCACTCACGCACTGCATTTTTCATAGACAAAGGGGAGTGCGCGGAGGGACTTGCCTTTAATCCTAGAGCTCTGGATGAACAAGGGAAACAGCCTCCGCTCTGAAGAAGTTTGAGCCCCACCATGTCCCTGAAGATCTTGGATGTCAGGATTTCTCCACTCACACACTGGGGCTGTCCCAAGGACACAAGTTCCTCACCATATTAGCACTGGAGGAATGGGGAGGGCTCTACCCTCTGCACAACATCCTCCTCCCCACACAGAGTAAGTAAGATCTACCCAGACATCCCCTCACATCCTTTTTTCCCCCAACACTAATGAGTGGTCAAGATCAACTCAGTTAGCCCTTCGATCCTTCCCTCCACACTTCTCTCGTGGTTACCTTACCTGAGTCATTGCCCAAGTCCCAAAGCTTGTACTTCACATCACTGATGAGATGCTGGGGCTGACCCATGGTTCCCAGTCCCATCACTGAATCCTTCATAGATAATTCTGTGTGTGACAGCTGGTGAAGCCTGGAGAAAATTGAACCAGTCGAGATAATTTAGGAAAATTCCACGAGAGCTTGTCAGGCCTTCTGGAGCTCTCATTTACAATCGGGTGGTGAGAGGGTGGATCCCTTTCTCTGTGCTGGTGGAGATGAGGCAGGGGAACACCAGTGAATGTAGAATGGGAAGGTTTGGGGTAGGTGGGTGATTGGTGGGATCATTGCTTGTAGAAGGAGCAGGTTTGGGATTTGGGATGAATTCTGGTTTTGACATTTCAAGAATGGTGTTCCAGAGGAAAACTGTAGTGGAGATGTCCATGAGATCACTACTTTGTGACAGGAGTCTTGTAGACATATATGACCTTAGTGTAAGAATGACAGATACAAGAACCGGGCATACTACATTCATGCTGGAAAGGCATATAGGCTACAATGAGAACATGCAGATCTCCAAAACAGAGAAAGCAGAGAAGGGAAGTGAGAGGACAATGGGAGTTTATGGTACTTGAAGAAAAGGAATGCCCAATGAAAGGAAAAGTATGGTAAATGTAGGAATTAATTCTACTATCTCCTTTCCTTCCTCTGATTTGCTACTTCCTTGAGAATCAGTTCAAGCATCCCTGACATGAAGGGATACCTGCCCTTCTTTTGGTGTTTCTGGCACCATGTGCGTCAGAGCACATGGGGGACTCCTTGATATTTCCCAGTCAATTTTTGTCTAGTTTCTGCAGAATGCAAGAGCCTAAGTGGTATTATATTCCAGTCTATGTGTCTAGAACAGTTCTGAGAGAGATTTTCCTCCCTTGTTCTTCTCCCTAATTACATTTTCTTTCAACTTTCTAGGAAAGAGCCCAGGGAAGTCCTTCAGCTTTACTGTAATAATAAGAGTCCTGTTTCCCTCACCCTGCTGCCCCTACTCAGTTCTTACTATCTGGGACAAGAGTGAATTCAATTCTAGATCATAAAAAAGAGTTAGTGAAGTTAATAATCAGAAGCTTTGTCTATTTGTTATATTTCCAGCATATAAAATGCTGGAAAATTTGCCTAAACTCTACATCTTTTCAATACAGCAGTAGTAAATGGGTTTATTTCTGGAATATGATGTGGGTTTAATATTAGGTAACTCAACAATCTAATTCCCTGTATTAATATAGCTAAAGAAAAAATTACACTGATACATGAGAGAAGTGATATTTTTAAAAAGATTTTATTTATTTGAGAGACAGAGAGAGAGCAAGAGTGAGTACCAGTGGGGGGAGGGGCAGAGGGAGAAGCAGACTCACCCCTGAGCAGGGAGACTGAGGCAGGGCTTGCTCCCAGGATCTTGGGGGATCATAACCTGAGCCAAAGGCAGACACTTAACTGACTGAGCCACCCAGGTGTCCCAAGAAGTGACTTTTTAAAATAAAAAATAGACATTATGGGTTAAAAAGAGTAAGAAAAATAGGTATTTTTTGAATGGGTAATCATTTATTTCAAATGCATATTGATCAGCATAATTATAATCATTAAAAATCCTACTAGCTTCAAGGACAGAAGCAAGACAAGCATTTCACTATGACTTAACATTGTTCGGGATATTCCAAACCAACATATTTGGAAAGAGAAAGGAATTAAAGATGTAAAAGTTGTAAATATTGCCATTATTTTTGAGACACTATTTACCTAGAAAATCAATTAATAATAATTCATTAAGGTATCTAATTATCTTAACACTCAAACCTTTTTTTCTCAAATAAATAAGGGAAAAGGAAAAAGGAAAGGATTTTCTCCCACATTATATGTTTGCAGAGGCTTCTCTTCCTGGTCCCTTGGCTAGAAAGTAGGTGTTTGTGTTGGGGCTTTTGTGTATGCGCCTGCTGTGCAGTTTGGAGAACTGGGTCTTCCTTCCATCCGGTCAGTGCCAGGAAAGAGAAGAGGAACAAGAATCCCACAAAACTCAGTCCCGTTATGGGTAATTATTCAAGAGTTAACCTGTCTCCTCATTTCACATTCTATTTTTAACTTCTCGGAGTCCTCACATACAGAGTTCTTACTTTCGGTGGTCTCTTCAGACGTCTCTAGTTGTCATCCGTGGGTGAGTTGGACTCGAGGATTTATTCCATTTTGGCCAGTGCCAGAAGTCAACACAAAAATGTTAAGTATGTAGCAACTCTTGGAACCTTCCAAGAGATGAGGGGATCAGGATTGTCAAATTGCTTTAAAGACTCCCTAGCCAACACTCTGAAAATCTAGGTGTAGCTTCTATGCTGCTACATTTTCACAGAAGTGAATTTAGTTGCCAGAATATTCACTACTGAAGATTCTCTGAGAAGAGAAGGAGAGCAGGGATTCCTGGAGAGAATTACTTTAATGTCTGATTACTTTGTGAACTTCTAAGATCTAAGTCTGGAGCATTTTTTGAAATGAAATTTGAATGTGGGCTATTTGATATTTTGTGTGGTTGAGAACTGAGGTTTACACATTCCCCCAAATCTGTGTGTGTATGTGTGTTTTGACTATTTATATAATATCCTTAAAAATAGTTCAGTATCCAAGCATCAAGGCATTATTGTCTGTAACTATCATTCTGGTAAAATTTGTCTGTATTCTTGAAATACTGTGCTCATTACTGAGTACTGAGTCAGATTATATACAATCGATATTTTTCTTTTCAGTTAAAAGGAATTTCTGACCCATGAATCTGAACAGTAACATAATTCATTTCTTTATTCAATAATGTTTCTCAGCACTTCCTGTCTTACTGTGTCTTCATTATCATAACTTTCTGTTGGTTCTGTAGTGTTTGCTTTTAATATTTTTTTACACATTCTTTTATTTATTTATTCAAATATTTTGTTGTTATCTCTCATGCCGCCAGGCTGGTGATTCATTCTTGGAATGTGGTATGAAGAGCACTGAGATTGGCTATCCATCTTGTGATTGGCAAACTGGAAAAGACCTGAATTCTGTTGTTGAGTTTTACAAAGGGAAGAGATAAGCTGTTCTTGAGGTCTTGTTATAATGGAACAGAAGCTACTCCAGTAAAGGGAGAACTCATGGAGGAGGAACTTAGCCAGATGAATGGAGGAAGAAGAGAATTCCAAAGTGACACTGGGTTTTGACAAGAACTGTCTGGAAGGAGAATTCTCTGTGCTTTGTGTTCATCCATTTAGCTAGCTTCCACACCCATGCATTCCTCCACGTCTAGGAAGCTCAGATAGCAAATGAAAAGTGCACATATCCCACACAATATAATAAGAGAGATTACTTTTATTTAAGTAAAACAGAAAAGACGAATGTATATCCTTCACATTGTCACCACTTTAAAAAATAATACAGATAAATCTCCTGAAGGTAAGATGAAGTTCAAGTCCATGAGGTATAAGTGATTTTCCCCATTCAAGAAGTCACCAGGATAGGACACTACCCAGCTATTAAAATTCCTGAGACCTTGGGCAGGTTTATGAGCTGTTCCTGATCATTTGGGTCCACAGCAAATGAAAGGTCTGAAAGGGCAAGAAAAGGAACACGAGAGGAAATGACAAATAAGGGAGCTTTTGTAAACAAAGCTTACTGTACTACATTCATAACCTAGAAACACCCCTATTCAGCCCTGGGGTCTTTGGATGTAGTGGCACAATGGTGGGGAGGCAAAGAAGAGGTGACAGAGGTCGTCCACTTGGATGCACAGAAGTAGAAAGATACCCTCAGAGTTGAGCAGCATATCACTGCGATTTATCCAGGAATCCTTGCAAAGTTCTGTAATCCAGTTACGAGAGTTTCCCACATCTACCTCCCAGTAATGTTTGCTGGAGGTGAAGGTCTGAGCTCCCCACAAGAGTGTGTACCGTGGACTTGCGAAACCGGGGGGGCATGTGTTCATAGTCAGGACTGCATTGCAGATGTCTCAGGTTTCAAAGAGAGGCACACGGTAACTGCTTATGTTATGGTCCAATGTAAGACACACTTCCGTATGAAGAAAACAGTGAAGTCAAAGAACAGAGTTTAAAAGTTCTGGGGACAAGTGCAGTTGTCTTCTGGTGAATGCCGAACAAGCACATCTCTAAAACCAAACAAAAACTGGTTTGCTTTGTTTCCTGAGAACACTCCCACCCCACTATGGCCAGTTCAAGGTACTTACCATTTAGTAATTCCTCATAAAGTTCTGGAACATGGAACAGTTGGCTTTCATGACAGAGTCCATACTAACTGCTCCAGAACACTATTTTACCACAAATGACTAAACAGTGTGTGTTACTGGAAATCCAGAGACATCAGCAAGGGTCTCCTTGCCTATTTACAGAGCAAGTAAAGGTCTCTTCATAGAACTAGAGGAAAGACAACTTTGAGAATACAGAAACATGTAGGATGTCAGGTTCACTTTATTTTCACTAGTTCACTGAACGTTTAAGGAGCCTGCACATCGATGCTAAGTAAATACCAATATGGCCCTTCACTTGCGTAAGTCTTCTCATTCACCAACTAGCACAAAATAAATATAATAACAGTAATAAATGTATTACAGATCACTTTAAAAATATGGTATTATTTTTATTAGTCTTAAATAGTGATCACCTTTCTCAAACCTGGGGACACAACTTGCAAACAAGCAAAGGTAAAATAAACTGAAAGTCCATATTTGCCTTTTTTTTTTTTTTTTAGAAGTGGTTTTTCTCTCTGAATTTCTAACTCATACATCATGGAATCCGAATCCAACTTATCCCATCCCAGGCCCGCTTCTCCTGTCCGCCAGCCTCACCATCTGTCCCTCCACACAACAAATCATATGTTCCATTTGTTTTCTAGTTGTACCTATTGTTTATAAATATACGTTTACCCTTTGTTAAGTCTTGAGATTTTTCAAATACATTCCTTAAATTAAATTCTTAAATAAACATTTAAATAACCACTAAGGGTGCTTCTAAGAATCTGAACATCTACATACAACCATAGTTAACATCTGCAAATTGAAATAGCTGAATTAATATGTAGTTTTAATGCAACATGCTTTCATGGTTTTAAACTCACTGCAAATTGTCATAAGAAAATGGTTATATTCAATTGTCTTTGACTGACTTCAGATAGCTTTTACTTGTTAATTAACAATAAAATATAATTAGTTATAAGGGTATTCATATTGACCTGCCTCCCTGTTCTCTGAAAAGACCAATAGAGCAATGAGGGGAGGTCCTCCAGGTGTATCTCCTCCTGGAGGAAACAGTGAGGTCTCACCACCTCGGAAGTTGTTAAGCCTTTTGGACAATCCTATGATGGTCCGTGAGCTCAGCTGCAGGTTCACAGGCTGGGGTATGTGCAGGCTGCATTAACGGACTCCTGCAAAGAAAAAAAAGCTGCTTACTAACACGTCCAGTGGGATCGTAAGCAATCCCTTGAAGATGCTCCATCAGAATTCTCTCCATTAGGTGCAGAAGGTGTGTCTTCAACTCCACAAATCGAGGGGTACTGCAGCTGTTCTTGTATTTTATAATTAGCCACCCTGCGCTTCCCACTTCAATCTCAGTGAGATATGTCACTTCACTCACAACTGTATCTCTCTCTCTCACCTTCGGCTTCCCTAGGGGAGTCATATAGCCATTCACTTTTAGTTGCCAAAATCCAGTAGGTGCCAAAATTTTGACTTGCTGCCTGGTACATATGGAGTCTAAGCTCTGTAGGAGGCTCTTTCTTGGGGACTTTCGCTGTCCCCTCTTCTCACCATCCTTCTACCTGCTGCCTCTCTGAGCTTATTTGTCTTTCCCATAGAAGACCTGGAATAATTCTCAAATAATTGGGATTTTGAAAATTAGAGACAGGAAAAATAATTATCTTTTGGAAACTTTTGCATTAAGTCTTACAGCTGAACCCGCATCCCTCTCAACCCTCACTTTTACCTAAGGGTGGCCAGTATAAAACCTAGAAGTGTTTAGAGAAGACTGCCTTTGTTTCTAAATGCAGACAGAAAGAAACTTGCCACAAAAAGGTGTGTATCCATCTCAGCAGAAATAGCCTGACCACTGTCACCATAAACCAACTTGAACAGAGGGGCAAACTTACCTTTTCATGAGGTCTCCAAAATCCTGTGAAGAGAAAGAGAGGAAGCCTTAGCTTTGAGCTCAAGATATGCTTAGTCTAGTCTGAGGCTATGAGACTGGACTGGAAAATTCTGTATCTCCACTTTTCTTTCTTGGGTGAAATCATTTGCTCTTTTCCTCCTCCTTACAAAGATGAAACTCTTCCTATATTTGCGTACATTGATACCATCATGATCATGATAAAATTTAAAACAGATGTTCTTAGAATAAACAGTTGGTTGTGTTTGTCTTAATCTATGGCAAGATTCACAGAGCTTTCCCCAAAGTTCTTACAAAGGTATGTGGGCTCCAAATCTACAATTTCAAAACAGAAAGAATGGATACATTCCACATTCCCACATATTGACAAGTCCAGATACAGAGTCGAATGATCTATTCACGAGCTGCTCTGTTGCTGTCAGAAACTGAAAGTTCAGTAGAAGAGTTAAGAAGGACTTTTTTTTTTTTTTTCTGGATCTGTTCCACAGAATTTTCTACATAGTTTTCCTTCTTGTATAAGGTGAATGTGACCCTGAGCTTCCAGGTTATACTGGAGGAGCAAAGCCCGACATCCCAAAGTGAAAGAGGGCAGAATTGGACCTTGGAAACAGGAAAATAATGGAGGTCCAAGGGTATCGACCTCAGTGAACATAAAGGATTTCTGAGCAGTCTGGTGTTCAACACCCTGACATCTTTCCTTAGCCTTTACTTGGTTCAGGTCCACATCTGTTTTGCAGCAAATTTCCTTTAGTTCCTCATACGTTTTTCTCAGGGGTTTCCCCATGTGACGCATTCTAGCTACATTTCTCTGGAGTTGATTAAAAACTATCTTGCCTTCCACTGCCAGGCTCTCTAAATGTTTTTGCTTTTCCTCATGGAGATAGTGGTTTATCTTAGGATATTCAGCCCTGATCATCATCATCCGTAGATTTACAAAACCCTGAAATGACATTGGTTTAATTAGGCCATATAGCTGGATGTTTTTTTTCTTCTTTCATTATCTATAGTCTGTGGGCTATGTACAGTGTTCTTAGTCTGTTCAGTCTGCTTTAACAAAAGCACCATAGATTGGGTAGCTATAAATACAGAAATTAATTTCTCACCATTCTATATGCCAGGAAGTCTAGGATTGGTGCTGGCAGATTTGGTGTCTGATGAGCGCCCACTTCCTACATAGCTATCTTTTCATAGTGTCCTCAAATGGCAGATGGGGCAAGGGACATTTCTAGCATCTCTTTCAGAAGGACATTTGTCCCATTCCTGAGGACTCTGGCCTCGTGATCTTATCACCACTCAAAGCCCCCACTCCTACTACCATCACCTTAAGGGCTAGAATTTGAACCTACACATCATGATCTGAAGCATATATTCACATCATAGAAGTACTACATACAACTTTATGTCTTTCTTCTTCTAAGAAACCACACATTTGGTTTCTTTCTTACCTTTTTCCCTCCTTCCTTTCTTTCTTTTACATTTATTTATTTGCCTGCACCAGTGTTGACAACGACTTACCCTCAAACATCCATGTTTTCATGTAAAAATAGAAATTTAAGATCAATTTTTATTGTTTTACATAATTCATAATATTTAAATCATAATTCATTTTCCTGAACACTCATATTCATAAACTATCTGCTCTCAGCAAAAAAGCAACAATTGACTTCCTCAGGCAAATAGAGGACATTGCACATGATCTTTCTAAATTACCTTCATTTCCAAAACTCTGTGCTTCACCAGAGCTTGTCCCTGCCTGCCTCAGGACCACACCCACCTCCTCTTGACTGGTCCACCCTGTCTCACCTCCTTAGAGACATCAGCTTACAATCCTACACACACATTCTGGCCTCTCTTTTGTCTCCTACATCTCTGTGTCTCTGAACCCCGTGTTCTGTGGGTCTGTCTCCAGTTCACTTTCTCCCCTTCTCTTCACATCATCTTTAAACACACACAGATTTACCAGATTATTTTGGAAGTATCAACATTAAACATCCTTGTTAAAATGGCTTTAACTAGCTTCTGTGCTAACACTTTTATTGCCATAAAAGCCAACTTATTGACCAAATGGAATCAAACTCAGTGTGTCCATGGGTGTAATTTCCGGTTATTCATCCAAGCAATGACTCCTCGCTTCTGTTCCCTACTCTTTCCTGAACTACACATTCCAACTTGCCAAGAGCCTGTTTTTGCTAAATCCAAATAATATGATTCATTCTTATATTACTTCACCTTCTTTCCATGTTTGAATTATTTCCTGCCTATTTCTTTTACTAATCCTTCTGTCTCCTACTGCAGAGAGCTGTGTTCTCAGAGAGGCGCTCGTCCCCCAGCTCTCCCACCCCTGACCAGCTCCTTCTGATCTCTGCCCAGGTATAACCTTGGCCAGCATACATTCCCCAAGCCCACACTCCTTATACTCATTTTCTGCTTTCATTTTACCCAAGCACTTCATAAATGTCATATATCACAACTTTTACTTTTTAAATTTCTGGATCAAGTTCTTTTACTGATTATAAACTCCTGAGCTCAGTGATTTGTTTCTCTTTTTGCCCATTCCTGTATCTCTTTGTTGGCCTAGAACAGTGAGCAACACATCAAAAGCCCTCATATGAATGAATGACTCATTAGAAATCCATCCTAGGGGTGCCTGGGTGGGAGCGTGGGACTCTTAATTTCTGCTCAGGTCATGATCTCAGAATTAAGAGATCAAGCCCTGTCTCAGGCTCTGTGTTCAGCGTGAAGTCTGCTTGAGATTCTCTCTCCCTCTGACCTTCCTTACCACTTCTTATCCCTGCTCACATGCTCTCTAAAATAAATAAATCTTAAAAAAATATAAAAGAAATCCATCCTAAATGATCAACATGATGTTCTTATTCCTCTTTGGCATTCTCATAGTACCATGCACAGATAACTGTTCAATGAATTTTTATTCTCTGATACTGGTCTCTCATATGTCTCCTTCAATATTGCTTGAGTTCTTTGAAAAGAAAGGTCTACTTGTCTTCTTCAGATTCAGGTTCTCAGTTCTTCTTCATGAATCATCAATGACACAATCCAAAATCCTTAGCTAGGCATTTGTATTCTTGATCTGGGCATAATGACGTTTCTAGCTACATCACTCATCACTGTCTGCCTTGTGCCCCATGTACTAATCAGTTGGAGCAGCAAGCAGATCTCAAACAATTTCATGGGTTGTCTGGTTTGTCTCATCTTTACTTTTCTTGTCCCTCAGATCTCTCTGCCATCAATATCCAGGAAATGAAAAATTCTACTAACATACAAACTCCACATTGGTTTTCACTTGTTTGAGAAGCTTTTCTTAACATTCAAAATTTGCTAAGTTCCTATAGAACTCTGTATTTACCTCCATCCCCGTGATCATTGCATTCTGTCTTGAGATAGTGCATTTTCTTGTCCCTGATGATGTATTGCTGGTAGATATTGCTTTAACCAGAATAACCAGGAAAAGTCTTTTAGTTACACAATGGGCTCACTGTGAAACCCTGTACTGAAGGCCATGTTTCCTCTAGAGAAACATATGTAGCTCTTTTTCTGATTACCTGCTCAAGGAACATTATGATTTAATTTAAGTTCTTCCACTGTCAGTTACCATGGTATCTCTCCCAAGCTGGTTCCAAGGGAAACAGGGCCTACTCTTACCTTCCATGCTCTAAATAAGTTGTACTCTTTGTTTAGATTTTTCTGATTTTTCTGTCTGCTTTTCCAAATAGACTTCATTTGCATCAGAAGTTTCTCCTGTAAAAGAACTGCAAATTTAAGCACTAGAAAAACAGAAATAGCACTTTTCAGATACCTCAAAAATTGATAAGGGGATTGACATGAGAAAAATAAAAAAGTAAAGAAAGCAGATATGTCAATGATTTTCCCTGGAAACACTAATAGTCAAATCTGGGAGACTGACCAAAAATAGAGTTCCTGAATTTAGAAAATGCAATCCATAATCTGAGGAATGTACTACTTACATTATATGTAATATGGACAATGTTCAGAAGTGAATCTTCATTCATATTTAATTTTGAAATGATGGCCATCACTTTTTCTATGGTATGATTACAATACATTATTTTTAAATCTGCTATCACTAGAAGACATTTGTTGTCATCATTGCTGAAGTAGCCAATGACTGTCACTGTCTCTAGAGATTACATACCCTGTTAGTTACCCTGAAATGTCAACACCCTCCTCAACTCATCATCATTCTCCCTCAACCCAACAGAATTTAAACTTCAGGGGAGCAAAGATATTTGTCTAGTTTCTTCAGTGTTGTATCCCTAATTTTTCAGAACAGTGCATGGCACATGGTATCTTGCAATTCTATTTGCTTGAGGACTAAGAGAAGAAAGACAAAAATCAACAATTGTTGCTCATTGCCTGATAAGGCATAGAGTCTTCCACATTTCACAGTGACGGTACTTACCCTGCACTGCTCAGCAGGTTGTGACATTGATGAGTGTCTGTGAGCGGCATGCCTTTGGGAATTGGAGCAGTGCAAACACAGCGGGCTCTTTTCAGTTGAACAGAAGAGGTACTTTAATACTAGGTGTATCCTATAGACTTGCTTGGCAGAGTTCGGTAACGGGCAAGCAATGGATTCTTTGGAAGCACGAACTTGTCTCACAGCGAAAATAATGCCTTTGAAGTCTATTCGTGGAGATACTGTCCTGCACACAGAGCAGTGAGTAGGATGCTGAGCGTCCTCTTACAGGAGGCAGAGACAAGGAGTACAAAAGTTGTGCCCACCACTAAGGGTGAAAGGGTCTGTGAAATAATCCTTGCAGATGTAGCAGATAAGCTCCCTGGGGATATGCTGCACAAAAGTAGAATTCATGTTTCTGAGGAAATAAAAGGAAAAGGAAACTGAATTGAGTTAAGCCTTCTCTCACTAATATACACATGCACAAGAGCAGCATAGGTAGTGCTGGAGATAAGTTGGTAAGGCAGAAGGGGAGTCCCCCAGACCGAAGCCGGCATGCTTGTTTTCCAGCCATACCATGTAGACCTGCTTCTCAGTTCCCATTAGAGATTCGGGATTTGTCAACCATGTTGTCTCCTTTACAGAGATAAATACATCAGAGGTTCTAGCTCATCCTTAGCCATAAGCAGGGGGCCATATTTGGTCCAAAAATCATCATACTTTTCCTTTATTTTCCTCTTTCTGATTGGTTAGCACAAGGCATGTGCTCCAATTCTGACCAGTGGATTAAAAAGAAAGACTCCTAGGAGAGTCTATAAAAATATTTCTTGCTCTAGAAGAAACATGGGAGACAAATCTGTTTTGTTTTTTGTTTCCAGACATTACTTGGATACAGTGCCCATTTGCATAGCCATTTTATGGTTTCAAAGCCTAAGGATAACAGCCAATAGCCTGGAGCTAACAAAAGGGATGGGAAAAAACTTTCTGGATTTGCAGAAATGTCATTAAACACTACTTATCTTTTCTGGAGAGACCTAAAGGAGAGGTAGAAAACAGCCACTTTAGATACACTGTAACATTAACTAAATCAACAAGAATCATCAATAGATTCTAAAATAACTAAGATAAAAACCTTTGGGAAGAGAGTATTCATATAACAAATAGAGTTATACCCCACATATTAGTTCCTAAATGCAAAAAAGAAAAAAGTACCTTTACAAGGCAAATATTTAGCTGACACATTAACCAAGTAACCAAACTGTGGCCATGGATCTCATACATTCATAGGTGTAGACCACTTAAGGACACAAAGGCACATCTGTAGCATCCCTCCCAGAAACATTTAATCTGTAAGTAACCATGGAGGAATGCTAGAAAAATACATTTAGGAGACATTATGTAAAACAATAATCCAGGACTATTCAAATAATCTTAATTTCTTAGGAGAAAATGGTTTGAAATGATTATACATGAAAGGTGAGTAAAATATGAAAATTCACTAGAATAGGCCATCTTTGACCCACTCCCAGATTGAAAAAAATAATAGCCAATAGGACAACTGGGGGACATTATAAAGATAATGGGGTCTTCCCATTTTAGTTCAGAAATGTGGAAAGCTGGAAAAATTGTTGCTGCCCTCCTACTGCAAGAAAAATGCTAGACAAACTAAACATTAATGATTTGTGTTCAAACCATTAGAAAATTGAGGAAGCAAATCAAACAACTAAGGTTATGCATAGGCAGGCACAAGCATGGAGGAAAACAGGCTCTCTGCATGTTTATCTGGAGGAGATTTTATTAGAGGCCATATAAATTGGTATGAAGATAAACTAGTTTTAATTAGCCACTAAAAACCAAATACAAGTGAAAATAAGCGTGCAAAGGTCCTTAGGATTATCGATGTAGAGAGCAATACAGGTAGAGAGATGAAAGAGTTAGAGTTTCTCTAAGAAGCAGCACAAAGAGAGGACCCAGAGCCAAACCAAGAAGTAAAACAGAGTAGTGCTTCTCAGCTGAGACCTACCCCGAATCAACCAGGGAAATTTGGTACTCGTTAGAGACAATTTTGGTTGTCATAGTTTGAGGGATATTACTAGCATCTAGTGGGTAGAGGCCAGAGTTGTCTTTAAATACCCCACAGTGAACAGCACAAGAAAGAATTTACAACAAAAGTTATCAGCCCCAATTTGCTAACTGTGCGAGGTGGAGAAAACCTCTGCCAGAGGCATTGGAAGTCTCTGGAAAACATAACATTAACATACTCTAACTTTGGTAACCAGAGCAATAACAAACTTCAAACTCATGTCAAGTCCTGACTAGCTTAACACAAATCCCCATAGTAAAGGTCTAGCAGAAGAAAGTGTGTGCTTACCAAGTAATGTGAAAAGGACTTAGCATCTACTGTCATAATACAGTATCTATTGTCATATATAATGCTAGGTATTCAACAAAACATAAGACATGTCAAAAGGCATTAAAAAAAATCAACCTATGACAAAGTACTCCTCACAGCCAGACTTAGATACAAAACAGATGTTTGAGCTTTTAAACAAGGACTTCAGAATAACTTATAATTAGTATATTAAAGGCTTTGATGAAAAATGTCAACAAGATACACAGGTAATTTCAGGACAGATGAAAACTGTAGGATAGACTTAGATAAGCTAGAAACAAAATCTATAGAAAATGTCATTGTTGGGCTTCAAAGTACATGTGATATAGCCAAGGAAAGTCAATGACCACAAAAATAGGTCAATACAAAACACACAATCCAAATACAAAACACACAATCCAAACACAAAGGAAAAACAAAGAGTGGAAAATAAAAACAGAATAGAGCATCAAAGAGCAATAAGGCAACATTAAATGATTTAACTTATGTGTAATTAGGTTACACATAAGCAAGAAAACAAAGAGAACAGGGCAGAAAGAAACAACTTAAGAAATACCTTTTTTTTTTTTTTTAAGATTTTTTAAAATTTATTTGACAGAGATCACCAGTAGGCAGAGCAGCAGGCAGAGAGAGAGGGAAAAGCAGGCTCCCTGCTGAGCAGAAAGTCTGATGTAGAGCTCGATTCCAGGACCCTGAGACCATGACCTGAGCAAAGGCAGAGGCTTAAACCATTGAGCCACCCAGGCACCCCTGAAAAAATACTTTTCTAATTTTCTAAAATTAGTGATAAATATTAAAAAAAAAGATTCTTATGTTCAGAAAATATCAAACAGAAAAAAAAAATATAAAACAAACAAGTGAACCAACAAAACCTCCAACACCTTAGCAAGTCACATTCAAGCTGAATGAAAACGGTAACAAGGAGAAAGTCTTGAAGGCAGCCACAACCATGGATGGATGAAGATTATATATCGAGGAATAAAGGTAAGAATTATACCAATAAGCCTATCAGAATCTATGCAACTAAGAAGACAATGGATGATGTTTTTAAAGCATTGAAAGAAAATAACAGTCAACCCACAATTCTATATCCACTGAAAATATCCTTCAAAAGTAGGAGATTTTTTAATTTTTCAAAGAAAGAAAAATTAAGGGAATCAATATCAGCCAATCAAATGTACAAAAAGTACATGTACAAAGTTGTACAAATTTCTTCAGAGAAAAGAATGTCATGCTGAGAGGAAACTTGACTCTATATAAAGACATGGAGGGCACTAGAAATTAGATTAGATAAAATGTGAGGTATTACAATATTTTCTTTAATAATAACTATTTAAAGCAAAGATAGTCACAATGTACTATGTGTTTATGACATATGTAAAAGTGAAATGATGACAATGATGCAAGACAAAGTAAAGAAGAATTAGGACTATGATCAAGTTTTGACATCGCATGTAAAGAGTATTACTCTTTAGAGTATAGTATTACTATAAGAGTATAGTATTACTGAAGGTGGACAAAATTAGTTAAGGAGGTCTACAGGAATGCCTTGCAGATATTGCATGTTTGGTTATTAACAACTGCCATAAAACAAATATTGTGATGAAGTGAGTCAAATGAATTCTTTCATTCCCCCACACATATAAAA